GACTGCCCGTATGGGTGGGACCAGTCTGATATGCTTCAGATATGTTCTCTCTGTAATGGCACAAGCTGAGCTAAAACCAGCTTGAGTTCTGAGCGGGGACCCACCGAAGGGCAGGCTATTTTAGCTGCTGTCCGTTCTCAGAATACTCTTGCGACCCATTTTTTTCTCTCCATTAGTTTAAAGGGTAATCCAGACATGGACCCCTTGCTCACGGTGCCTAGAGAGATATCAGCTATGCCTCACTGACGATGCCTAACAAGGCTGAAACGATCGCCTGGGGTTGCTGTATCTCTCGTGCAGAGAGAACTTGCTGGCATTTCGGATCTGGACTGCCCGTATGGGTGGGACCAGTCTGATATGCTTCAGATATGTTCTCTCTGTAATGGCACAAGTTGAGCTAAAACCAGCTTGAGTTCTGAGCGGGAACCCACCGAATGGCAGGCTATTTTAGCTGCTGTCCGTCCTCAGAATACTCTTGCGACCCTTTTCTTGCTCTCCATTAGTTTAAAGGGTAATCCAGACGTGGACCCCTTGCTCACGGTGCCTAGAGAGATATCAGCTATGCCTCACTGACGATGCCTAAGAAGGCTGAAACGATCGTCTGGGGTTGCTGTATCTCTCGTGCAGAGAGAATTTGCTGGCATTTCGGGTCTGGACTGCCCGTATGGGTGGGACCAGTCTGATATGCTTCAGATATGTTCTCTCTGTAATGGCACAAGTTGAGCTAAAAGCAGCTTGAGTTCTGAGCGGGGACCCATTGAAGGGCAGGCTATTTTAGCTGCTGTCTGTTCTCAGAATACTCTTGCGACCCATTTTTGCTCTCCATTAGTTTAAAGCGTAATCCAGACGTGGACCCCTTGCTCATGGTGCCTAGAGAGATACCAGCTATGCCTCACTGATGATGCCTAAAAAGGCTGAAATGATCGTCTGGGGTTGCTGTATCTCTCATGCAGAGAGAACTTGCTGGCATTGCGGATCTGGACTGCCCGTATGGGTGGGACCAGTCTGATATGCTTCAGATATGTTCTCTCTGTAATGGCACAAGTTGAGCTAAAACCAGCTTGAGTTCTGAGTGGGGACCCACCGAAGGGCAGGCTATTTTAGCTGCTGTCTGTCCTCAGAATACTCTTGCGACCCATTTTTTGCTCTCCATTAGTTTAAAGGGTAATCCAGACGTGGACCCCTTGCTCACGGTGCCTAGAGAGATATCAGCTATGCCTCACTGATGATGCCTAACAAGGCTGAAACAATCGTCTGGAGTTGCTGTATTTCTCGTGCAGAGAGAACTTGCTGGCATTTCGGATCTGGACTGCCCGTATGGGTGGGACCAGTCTGATATGCTTCAGATATGTTCTCTCTGTAATGGCACAAGTTGGGCTAAAACCAGCTTGAGTTCTGAGCGGGGACCCACCGAAGGGCAGGCTATTTTAGCTGCTGTCCGTCCTCAGAATACTCTTGCGACCCATTTTTTGCTCTCCAATAGTTATTACATGCTCCTGCTTATTTAGCAATGCCTGTCTTGGCATCACTTTGATATGCCTGTTTTTTCTTTTGTTAAATCTTTTTGGTTAAATCGTGAATTTCTCACTCAAACAAAAAACAAAGTGCAACGCATAACGAGCATGTCACCAGAATTGTCTTCATTTGCCTACTACTGTAATATTCTGTGACAACCGTGACAAATGTACCTAACGATGCACTTTTAAAAATAAAGAATTGAAAAAAAAAACACCTTTGATGTTATTACCAACTTGTGTGAAAGACACACCCATAGTGATCAAAAACTCGAAAAGATTACAGTACCGGAACAGGGAATCTTGTTGGCTGCGCTTGATGTGAGCAGCCTTTATACAATTATTCCGCATCAGGAGGACAGGCCATGAGGAGTGTTTTTTTTCAAGATCACACAGAAAGGGTAAGTCCTCCTATAGACTCTACATTGGAATTGTTGAAATTGTGTCTTACTTTTAATTATTTCAAATTTTAAAATAGTTACTGTATTCAGAACACCGACACTTTAATGGTGGCTTGTATGGTTCCCATGTATGCAAATGCATATATATGTATAAAAGGGAGAACATTCTGCCTAGATTTGGTAAACATATCTTCAAGTATTTTCGCTTTATTAGTGACATCCTCCTTTTATGGACAAAGGGAGAAAATGATGTGGTATCTTAAGAACTTACCTTCTTTAGTAAGATTTACCTATCTGTACAGTACTTTTGAATTTTTTTGATCTTGGGCAACAAAATGGGATATACATTGTATACCAAGCCCACAGATAGGAACACAATCTTGCATGCCTCAAGTTCCTACAGGTAATAATAATATTAATAATAATTCAGACTCTACACATTCTAATGAACAAACTCAGAATATGTACAACAAATTTATACAGAGGTGGTACATCAGGGCTACTTGTGCTCTAGGAAAAGAAGGTGTAGCACCTGAGGCATCCCTTAGGGAATGTATGTAGTGACAAAAAACCCAAAAGGATGGATAGTGTAGTACTTTAAAAACTTCTTGATAAAGTAAGGAAAATTAATAATGTACCCTCACACTTTCAGGGAGCTTAAATACAAGGGGAATGATCCCCGTCTATGGATATATTATGATACAGATTCTTCAAGGTTTACTTATAGCGAGACAAAATAAAAGTATATAGTATAGTATGTTGAGCTAATGAGCAGGGGTAGGTATGTACATAGGTGTACACTCACATATTTTGAAGCCTAAGTAATGGCTCAAGAAGTAATTTGTGAAGTGATATGATTCCCACTCTAGGATATAGGTGATGTGGATATTCCTTAGTGAATATATAAAAGAGAAATAGAAAACAACAATAATGTGTACTATAAAATTAGAGTGTAAAGCAAGTAATACAAACCTACTCACATGCTTCAGAGCAAAATGAGGTTTGCTCAATTTAGCTCAGGATTCAGCAGCAGAAGAGCAGGTCCAAAAACAGTACTTTTATATTTAAAAAACAATAAAATAAAAAATAAATGGTAAAATAATTATATAGGACAGTATAATAGCACACTTAACGCGTTTCTCCTTTGACAAGCTTTATCAAAAATTTCTTGATGACATCATTCGCCTCTCTTTCATCATACACACCCTCTGATTTGTTTGTTCAAACACACCTATTTAAATGCTTCCTTTCTTTTACTATTGAACTTGCCTTGAGAAAAGTCCAGTTAGGACTGAAAAGACAACTTTTTCTTTGAATAAACTGCACAAATAAAGCAGCATTGATTAAAAAATGTCAAGTCCTGTGAGTGAGCTCTATCAAGGAAGATTATAATTTTTCGCTAGAGTTTTAACACCAAGGCATAGACAAGACTGGGAGAATGTGAGTGCGGGGCACAAGCATATATATACCATAAATAAAGACCATATTGTGGTCGAAAAGTTGATTGATTTACTTATGTAAATTTGAATACACTGAATTGATTTTTTTCACCAAATCCAGTGAGTGCTCTCATCATTTCTGGGATTGTTATAGATTGTGCTGGGAAGCACCATGGTCTATTGAAGTCCATCACTATATGTGTTGTTTTGGCAGAGTGCCAGATTTTTAAAACATTTATATATATATATATATATATATAACACACACTTTTTTGATATAATCTTGTTTTCAAGAGTTGCTCAATTAATATATATGCATTACATTCACACCTAAAATGTTATTTAATACAAGCTATTGAGTAACCTACTTTATATGAAGAGGTGTCACTACCCAAAAACATGGCTAATCCCATAATGCATTGTGCAAATGTATGAATGTAATTTGTGGACATACAGTTGCATATGCAAATACTAGCATCACAAGATATATTTAAAAAATCAATACAATTTATTCCAAGAACTGTGGATTACAATGTAAATCAATGTTCGGTCCTTGGTCTTTGGACTTCTATCAAACATTTACATAAAAATCATGTTACTAGTGTAAGCGGTGTAGTTTAATTGACATCTGAATATTATATACCGAAAAAAATCTAATTATAACAATATAGAGATTAAATTTTGAGGAACAAGTACACAGGTTATACTATAAAATTGAAGGGACATCCCAAGTACTATGCAAACTCAAGAGAACTTTGTAAGTGAATATTAGCCTTGTGGATGGGGATAATTTTAGTTTTGTCCCAAAAATATGAATACAAATTATTTTTGCTTTATCCAAAATTAATTTCTTCTATTGGAAGATTAGTTTCAACCGATATTCATCCATGATTTTTGTTTCATAATTTCCATTCAGAGTAATTAAATGCCGTGATCACTGATTCGGTCTTTATATAAATAGATAAGGCCCTAATTTGGCATATTTAAGGGTGCCAAATTAGGGGAAAGCTGGGCATAGCAGATAGCTCCCTATTTTGGTATTTCAATTCGACATAAAGAAAGATATTAAATGATTGAGCTGTTTAGTAGAAAGCTCTCCAATTTGGCACCCTTATGTGGGATTACCATATTAAGGGCACCAAATTAGAGATCTACTTAGTAGGTAGATTCCTAATTTGTATTTTGGGATTATCATATTTAAAGGAACATTATAGCATTAGAAACACAAATGTGTATCGCTAACTCTAAAGTACCCTAATGGCTTTTTAGGTTACCAGACCCTGCCTGTAGGGTGAAAAAAG